ACGAATGATTTTCTTTTTAATAGTAAATCTATCTGAGCTAAAGTCTGGAGAAATTACAGAAGGGGTTTTGATGGGGAACTCTACGTCTACCATTAGCGAATAGTAACGGGCGTGAAGCAAGTACAAAAGGATACTAAATTGGTACTAGGAAACATATTTATTATCGAGTTTTATTATCGTACATGTTGCTCTTATGCGATTAACGAGGACGCCGTACCGGCAGAAAGTGCGCAAAACGTTTAACGTGCAAATTCAAATCATTTCATGCCGTGAGAATCGCGATCATTGGACACAGGCGCGACAATTAAAACTCATTCATTACTAAACAACAAACTCTCATATCTCAAACTGACCAAATTATATATATATATATATACATTCCAATCCGTATCCTTGTTATCCGAAATTCTTTACATCTTCTACTCTCCCTGAATAGGTTCTCTTTTATTCTTTTTCAAAGGTTCAAATCAGAGTTTGTCACGATTCCTGGACGATAGGTCAATTAATTAATTATCGCGCTCGAGGCTCGTTGACCGCGGCACAATTAATGTAGCACAGTGTCCCAACGCGAGGTTACTTATTTTGTACCAACGTAGCTTTGTACAAGATTGTTATTTCGGCATTCGGGCTGATGTTGATGATTGTTCGGCAGAGAACGACAGTGAGTACAGAAATCAACAAATAAGACACTTGTATAAATAAATAAATAAATAAATAAGGTGAGCGTGTTTTCTTCCGGCCTTTTCTCTCTCCCTTGTTAAAAAAAATCTCGTCCGGTCCGTGTGAGATAAGTTTTCTTTCTTTTTTTAGCAGACCGTTCGAACAAAGGGGAGAAAAAGAACAAGATTTTCTCGATGTTTCGTAATTTCTTTCCTTTTTTTTTTTTGGCTTTTTCCATTTTTGTTTTTTTTTCTTTTTCTTCGTTTTGACTTTGGTTTAGTGCTGGCTCGTGCGGCCCAGTAAGCGATTCAAGCGATTAGTGATAGCTGGCGTGACAAGAAACGCACGTCTTCCTCGACGTTCTACTGTTGAGGAATAATTCTTTTTTTTTTTTTTTTTTTTCAAAACAGGGTATGTTTATGTCGCAGCCACGATCAGGGGCGTGTGCTTGTGGGTAGCTAGCAACTTTTCTGGGGGGGGAAAAAAAGAACGAGCAGCATCGTGTTGGTCAATATAAATATATGTATATATGGTTCTCGTGTGATGATTTCGAAGAAGATATCGACGATGATACGTATATGTGTATATATACAAAGTCGACGTAATATATATAGTAATATATGAGTTGTCTGTCTGTAACGAGTGTGCAGATCAGGAGGGAAAAAAAAGCAGAGAAAGAAAGACGATTGGAAAATATGGGAATCACGAATATTCTCTCGGCTCGATTAAATGTCTGCACCGTTTCTCTATTAGACGCAGTATCTGAAACGAGGCAAAGGGCTGAGCTTGAATCTCGATTAATTCTGTTCGGCGCAATGAGATCAAGAGAACAAAGAAAGAAAAAAAAAAGAAGGGAAAAAATAGGATCAAGCACCAATATTGCGTGATCACCAAATTAGCTACAAACCTACTTTCTGTTCGCGTTCGCACATGACATAAACATACTCTTGAGAGATCTGCAGAGATTGATTAAGGAATTATACAGACAACAATATGGCCGTTTTAACGCTGGAATCGAACGCTGGATAAGTGAAATCGAAGAAGACCGGATCGCGTGAGAAACGATCGAGGGATAAACGAAAGAAGCGTTAAAATCCAGGGTTAAAATCGACGCGAAAGTGATAAAACTCAACGAAAGTGTCCGTCGCTACAACCTATACCGCGAGATCTAAAGGTAGAACTATCAACGAAACTGTTCGGCAACAGCGAACTAGCGAACATCTTCGATAGAGAGAGAAACAAAAATTAACAGAAAATTAAGTCCTACCCCGTTCTCCCGCGAGCGTTACCGATCAAAAATGCAATGGGACGGCGGTATCGTGTCGTCGCGACGATTTAACAATAAAACAACGATGAATGGCGCAACATACTAACAGTAATAACGGCAGAGGAACGATCGTTGGTCGTATATACATGTATACACGACACGATCGTTACATTTTTCAGCGACCGCATTTTTCTTCCCTTTTCGATTCACGCGCACGAGAAATGCATACGGATTCTTTCTTCAATGATCGACGAATGAAAGAAGAAAAAAGATCGTCCCGTGGATTTCGGGACAAAGTCTTATGTTTCTCGAGACAAAAAAAAAAAATGAAAAGATGAAGAAACGTGATTGGGACACGACAGAGATTTGCAAATTTCTGTTCGTACCTCACGTTTTTGTTATATATGTATATATATATATTTATTTTTTCATCGATGGTCAAAGAAAACGCTTTTGTGTGTGGTTCGAACGTGACGCGTGACGATGATATCGTAGTTCGAATGTCCGCTGGTCTCTATTCGCAGTTTGTTTTTTCGTCGTTCTTTCGTTTTTCGTTTTTTTTTTCTTCTCACGAAAACTTCTGGACAAGAACGATTATCGATCGAATAAAAAGGGGGGGGGGGATGGATGGATGCATGGATTTATAGAGCGTATTTTTCTTTTTCTAACCTTTTTTCGTCGTCGTGACAGAGAAAGAGGCTGTGCTGCTGGATTACAGAAATGTTAAGAATGAAGGGGGGGAATGGGCGCATGATGATTCTCTCCGATGATCTGTGTCGATCATGGATTCGCGACGACGTGATTTGCGTATTTTCGTCGCTGATGAACGTGGAGGAGAAAAAGATGACTTTTTTTACGTCGATAGATGATGATGCTTCGAGATATCGGCGACGAATCGAATGACGATGACGCGATGACACGTTCAGGAACAAGTTCGTTCGAACGAACTTCTGTGTATTTTTTTTTTTTTTCTTTTTCTTTACAATTTTCCCTTTTCTTCTATATTTCTTCTTCCTCCTCTTCTGTCTGAATCGACCAACGACCATTTCTCGTCTGGATGATTCAGCCCCTTCTCCATTATGTCTCTCCCTCAATCTTCCTGCCTTCAGATTCATCGGTTTTCTCTCTTTCTCTCTGATCCATCTCGTCCTTCACCTCCACCTCGTGCTTCCTTCAGCTGGTCCATTAGACTTTCATGATGTACGGAAGCCCGGCCACAACTGCAACAGGCCACAACCCCGACCCAACTCTCAGTGAGACGTAGAAAAACTGTATCCTCACGATCCTTTCATCATCGCGGCATATTTTCGGTATTAGAGCGTATTTACATTCTTCGTTTTTCCACGGCACGTTTTTTTTTTTTTTTCTATATATAGTATATGCATGTATATATGTATACATATATTCGTCAATATAATATTTCTCCGTTTCTGTTTCTTCGTAGACGGCGTGTTATAATTCTACAAATCGGCGAGTCGCGTCGGGAAAAAAAGCGTTACCTTTCGATCTACCGCGAATTCGATCGACGATTACAAGGTTCTTGGACAGACACACACATTGTTCTGGGAAGTGGGAGAATGGATCTGTGGTAGAAAACTTCGACGGAGCTGTAAAGATCGCAAAAGAAGAGAAGAAAACAGATCACAGCGGCGAGCTTCGTCGAAAGATCTCGTGAAAAGATTCCTGACACGAGAAGAAAGGAGAGAAAAAAAAAAGAAAGGAAATTCTTCGAGATGTTACAGCTCCGTCGTGGTTGAATCGTTGAACAGTTATCAGCGTAATAGATCCGGGCGCGATGAGACGCTCAGGTCGGAAAGAACGATCTTTTCGTTTTACAAGACGCTCGATCGAAGAAGCGTCGAGCGTATAGAAGGACTATCTAGAGAAAACTGTCACGCGAAACTGTTATTTTATCCCGACGATTCGAGGAATCCGAGGAGCCAGCCCCACCGGCTTCCCTAGGCACGGTTCTCTTGGATCGTCTTGCTCGTCCAGAACTTGCGTCTCGTGATTCTCTTCATGGACCGCGCGACACACCTGCATTCGAGATACGAAGAATCGTTTCGTCAGCCGGCCCATTTCTCTCACACTCATCATTTCTCAGCCCCGTCTTCACACACATCGGCTGTCACTTGGTTTACTTATATTCTTTTTTTCATTTTTTTTTTCTCTACCTCTAACAAAACAACCCTCCACTAAAGTGTTCCCTACGGTGCCAATTAAATCACTGCCCACTGCGCAACGTGGACATTGATTTCTCTCAGCCTCGTAGTTCACTACAATTCTATTACTTCTTGCAAATCTAACTCTGGACTATTTCCTTATCTTCCCCTGTTTTGTTCATTTTTTTTTTTTTCCTCTACATTTAATCTTGCATAAGTTGAAGAGCTGTCGATTCAATCCACAGTTGATTGACGTGCATGTGGATGCATGGGCAGTGATTTAACTCCGTGGATTACCACAGCCAGTTCAGATATTTACCGCTTCCGAAGAATCCTTTCTTGGCAACTTTCTGGTCCGATTTGCTACCACCTGATGACACCGTCGCAGTTTTTCTGCTGTCCTTCGCTGTGAGCTTGTTAATCGGCTTCAGGCCGGGCAGCGCCAGCTTTTCAGACCTCTCATGTACTTTGCCCTTGTCCTTGGTCACCGGGCCGACTTTCGTGACCTTGGCGACCTTGGTGCCGTGGGCGACCTTGGCAGGACAGCACTGGTAGGGCTCATAGGAGGGAATCTTGGGTTTCGCGCTTTTACCTCCCATGCCGATGTAGAAACAGCCGTCGCCTGCAGTAAGCAAATATACAACGAGTCAGATACAGAGAGATTCCAGACAAAGTTGAGTGGCAAAAGTGATAGAGAAAGAAGAGAGACAGATAGATAGATAGATAGATAGAGATAGATAGAAAGATAGAAAAGAATTGGTGAGAAAATTGGCTAGCCTACGGCTGATCGGATTTTTCGTCTCTTTCACGAGTCAATTCAACAGACATAATTAGGGTTGGGTGGTTGAAAAAGTAAAATAGTGAAGAAATGAGAAAAATATATATATATAGAGAGAGAGAAACAAAGAGATCGACAAGTGTAGGAGAGTGGATGGAAACAGAGAGATTGCAACAGATAGAAGATTGAGAGATATAGAGATTGAATTAAAAAAAAAAAGAAAAAAGAAAAATATAAATGGACAGTGAGAAAAAACAGACGGAGAGAGAGAGAGAGATAAGATAAGAGAAACATTGAGAAGAAAGATTTGATTTTTCATTGACTCGTGAGATTTTGACGTTAACTAGTGCAGAGAGAACGTGTCACTTCAACCCCAATTGCGCAGCAAAAGCCAAACGTGCATGTTTCTCACAGGATGAGAATATCTCGCGGCGAGTCGACGACTCTTTCTGGGCAGCCATTTTAGCGTGGACCAGCCTCTACTTAAATTTTCACCGAGTTTTAAAGAATGAACAAAATGAAATAATCATTGCGTTACTTAAAATTATATTTTTTTAAAGTTTCAATCACATTAGAAAGTATCACGTTAAAATTTGTCGCGTCGGGTTTTCTTCCCTTTTACTTTTTTTTTCCGTTACCGATAAATTCAATTGTTACTAAATTTGTTGAAATCACGCGAACAACGAGCTGTTGGCATGTTTCGGTCGCGAGATATTCCGAACGAATCCCCCCCCGTTATTTCCTCGCTCTTTCAAGCGGAGACCAAGTCCGATTCTCTTCGACTCGGAGCTCGCTGCAGACGACAGCTGTCAACTACAACAGGAACCAGTTCGTCGTTTTTTTTTTTTTTTTTTTTTTTTTTTTTTTTTTTTTTTTTTGGGTAGTAAAAGTGCGATCGTGGTCTCCTGGAGCTACGTACCACCGTTGTAACAAACGTACAATACGACATCAATCTTACTTACCTCGGGAAAGAAAGAAAGAAAAAAAAAAACGTAGAAAGCAAAGATAAAGTAAACAACATCTAACGTACATACATATACATGTAAATATACACGAAGATAAGAAAGCCGTATCGATAAATGCGTATGATCTAATTAACAAGTAAAAATACACCGCACGTGTGATGAATGTTTAAAATGAAATATCTGGCGACGTAGCTCCATATCGACGAGGGGATGTCACAAGGCTGGCATGCAAACAGGGGTAATTTAAGACGTTTAGAGGGTGAGAGAGGGTGGAGAATAAACGGAGAAGGGGAGAGCCAGGCTGTGTCAGTCAGGGGGATAGAATAATTAAAAAAAAAAAAACAACAGAAAAGAAACGTTTTAATTTTCATGCAGGTACGCCCTACGGCCACCAGCTCGACCGTAAACGGCGAGCGG